CCTTAGCCACTTGAGCCATAGGCACTGAGCCTTTTTTTTTTTTTGAGACAGAGTCTCACTTTGTCACCTTCAGTAGAGTGCCATGGTGTCATAGGTTATAGCAACCTCAAATTCTTGGGCACAAATGATTCTCTTTGCCTCAGCCTCCCAAGTAGCTGGGGCTATAGGCACCTGTCACAATGCCCAGCTATTTTTTTTTTAGAGACTAGGTCTTGCTCTGGTTCAGGTTGGTCTCGAACTCCTCTACTCCAGGAGTCCACCCACTTCAGTTTCTCAGAGTGCTGGGATTACAGGTGTGAGCTGCCACACCTGGCAATTCAGTATTTTAAATGTGGTTTTTGTTTTTTGTCCCAAAATATATTGCTGAATCAAGTATGTAGTAGTTATATCTAACTCTGAAGTATTTCTGAATCAAGCATGGAATAGTTACTATATCTAACTGTCTGAATCTAGTCTGTAATAGTTATCTAACTTTCTTTTTTTTTTAGAGACAGAGTCTCACTTTGTCACTCTTGGTAGAGTGCTGTGGTGTCACAGCTCACAGCAACTTTCAGCTCTTGGGCTTAGATGATTCTTTTGTGTCAGCCTCCCGAGTAGCTGGGACTACAGGCACCTGTCACAATGCCCAGCTATTTTTTATTGCAGTTTGGCCGGGGCCGGGTTTGAACCCACCACCCTCATATTATGGGGCCGGTGCCCTACTCACTGAGGCAGAGGTGCCACCTACATATCTAACTTTCTGCAGACTCATCAATGAGCATGACATGATAACAAGGAGCTGCCTTGATTCTCTTGCAGTCTCTTAATCATGATGCTTTAGTTTGAAGATGAACGGGCTTTTGCAGGAATCAGTGACATTCCAGGATGTGGCTGTGGACTTCACCCTGGAGGAGTGGCAGCTGCTTGATTGTGCCAAGAGAACCCTGTATTGGGATGTTATGTTGGAGAACTATAGAAACCTCATTTCAGTGGGTAAGGACAATGGGTGGTAACTTTTTGATATAACCAAGAATGTGGTAATAGTACCCTTCCTTTAAGTCTTGTGAAAACTGTGAACATTCTGAAGCATTAATAAGCTTGGCCCTGAATTTTAGTGCTCAAAATTTTTTACTCCCCTTTAGATAGTTTGTTAATGCTTCTACCTGCCAAAGGGAGAAAGGTCTTTTCTTTTCTTTTTTTTTTTTTTTTGAGACAGAGCCTCAAGCTATCCCCCTGGGTAGAGTGCTATGGCTTCACTGCTCACAGCAACCTCCAACTCCTGGGCTC